GAAGAAGATTATATTCTATGTCCAGTAGTTGTTTTCGGTTGTTATATATAACCAAAAATGGGTTTTTTTTAAATGCGTATCCATTAAAGACGTGTTGGCTAATCTTGAATTTTTGTTTCATTTAAATGTATTTTTTAAAGAAATAGTGCATTTTAATGCAAAGTGATTCACAATGTCAGAAGTGGAAGTAATAATGAATCGTTTGGTGAGCAAATTATTAAAAATGATGCAGTATTCGTAAAGAAAAAGTGATGATAACATCAAAAATATTATCCATGATAGTGCAAATTTAGTTTTTAATTAACAATTAACAATGCTATGATTATGAAACTTATTTTTAAAATGTATTATAAATTGAAAATAATTAGAATTCTAAGACATCAAATATGGTTGGTTTATCACAATTATACTTCCTAAGATTCTATATAAATCATTTCATACAAATTATAATTTGAATTAAGTATATTTGAATCATGTGAATCACAAAAAGTTCAAAAAGCCATTGGCTATAAATAAATTTATGTTTTCAAAAAACATTTATTTTTGTTTGGCTTTGAATACTTTATGAAGTATACATATTTACCGGTAATGATATTTCAAAGGTAGCTGGCATCCTTCTCAATATGGCAGGATCTAAGTCTTTAGGTCTATTTGTGGCACCCATTACAATCACAGTATTTTCGGGATCAGTTGATAATCCATCCCATAGCATCATAAACTGAGCTTTCATCATAGCTGTTGCTTCATGATCATGTTGCGTTCTAGATCTCAAAAAAGAATCTGAAATGTAAGTGATATTATAAATATACTGTGATAAAATCATCTCATGAAAAAAAACTTTAAAATGTTGAAGTAATGCTTGACTTTTTAACATAATGTCAACAAATTGTATGAATTCTTCTACTAGGGAAGCTAATTTTTATCTTTTAATAAAGAATATCAAATTAGAATTTAAAATTGGGAGTAAAAAATATTTATGTAATTGGTATAGGCCGAGGGTATTCAAACTGTCGCAGCTCGAGTATTTTGTCAGAAAAAGAAAAAAAAATAATGACTATTAATACATTATTTTATTCTGAACATAAGACATTTAATTAATGTATTTATAATATAAATATAAATAATTAATCATTAAACCATTTTATTTTCTACGTTGTTACAAATTTGAGAACCACCAAAATATTGGAATAAAAGAATTTTAATATCTATAGCATAGGCTATAGAAGTAACTTAGAGAAACTAACTTAACATCCAAGATTAATTTATAGAACAATGTAATTAATATTGTAAAGTGATAAAATATTATGCTTAATAATAATATTTATTAATTATAACAAATAACAACCAGCTTACAGAAGTTAAATATGAACTTCTAGTAGCATATTTATCTCAGAATAGTTACATTTGTTTAAATACTCTGGACTCTAGAGGAAGTGTTCTAAATAAAAAAACTATAACAGGTTTTTTAAGATAACAATTTAAAAGTCAACTTACAAACAAACCTAATAGTGTTTAAACAAATGTTTTAGATAGGTATCTTATATTAACTATTATTAAATAACTTATAAAATAATCAAATTACCAATTTCATCAATAAATATTATGCAAGGTTGAAGCTTTTGAGCCAAACTGAACACAGCACCAGCTAACTTTTGGCTTTCACCGTACCATTTGTCAGTGAGTAATGACACATCCAGATATAAAAAATTCATACCTGCTTCCCTGGCGGTTGCTTTGGCAATCATTGTCTTTCCGCAACCCGGGGGTCCATGAAGCAGAACTCCTAAAAATAGGAAATAGGTATTATAAAAATTGAAATAATAAATATCCAATTGAAAATATACCTTTCGGCGGTTTTGTTAAAACAGAATTCCTAAGCAGTTCTTTTCTTTGCACTGGAAATATCACGGTCTCTTTGATTTCATCTATTACTTGACTAAGTCCAGCAATGTTATTCCAAGAAACAGTAATATCATATGGATTGACCAAGTGACTAGCAATCATCAGCTCGTGGTCAGTTAACTGTAATCAAAGATAAATTCGTCAGAATAGCTGTACACTTTATTCAATGACTCAACTTACATTTTTCATTTTATGAAGACCCAAGCTTCTGAGTTTGCTGAGTGCCTGAAACACAAAAAAATAATCACATGTCTATGTCGTACATTAAGACAAAGTTAACTCACGGTCTCTTTGGATCGTTTTTTTTGCTGATTGGTTGGATCAATCTGTCCGATTAACCATTTAGTGCCAAAATAAGCACACGTTGACAACAAAGTCATTCGTATGACCAACGATATAACTTCATTTCTATTCATTTCCATTTTACCACCGTAAGTATTAACGAAAATAAATCTAAAAATCTATACTTGATTACAATCTATAGAGAAATTTTCCTTCGGATCGGTGTTTTGTTTCTTCAACTGTTTTATTCATATGAAAAATAAATAAATATCTAACAGCCTAAATGAGCAGTACACCGGAGAATTTAATACAGAGGACTAAGGCAAATAGCAATCGTAAATCAAAATTTTTTAAAACAAAAACCAACCAAAAAACAAGATTGAAAATTACGACCGTATCAGTTAGATTCATAACCTAAAATGGTTTAAAGGTTTATCACATAGAAGAGTTACTCCATGGTTTATCAAATTATTTTTAGGGCCCTTTCAACCAAACCTTAGGTACAATTACCAATGTTTACCACTGTTATGATGTCAGAAATCTCATAACAGAATTCAGATTACAGAAGAATCTCAATTTATTCTCACTTCTCAATAATGCATCTTATTCTATTTAATGATATATGATTGAGGATTGACAGTACTTACCTTATGACGAAATAAACAATTTGACATTTATTTATTATTGAGTAGTCTTATTGTGTATTAAAATATTAGATTGTTGTATTGTATTTAATGTACATTCTGTAATCTGATAATATGATCTAAACATTCTGACTTATTTAAGAGTGCAAACCAATAATTCAGTGTCTTGTAAATGGTATTTTAGGATAGGATATATTCAATCTTCTAAGAGCGTGGTTTAACACATCCATTAAAATTATCCACCAAAAGCGTTTACAATTATACTTACTAACCTAACCTATCGTTTTGCTATTCAAACACGGGCTTACAATTATTCATATTTTTTACATAAGCCAAGGCTACAATTATAGCGTTATAGATACAAGGTATCTAGCTATAATATTAATTTGGTATGATCTAAATTGACGACATATTTAAATAAAAATAAAATCTATATCATTGAATTCGTCAATAACATTCCTTATTGAAACCAAAACCATCTTCACCAAAATAAGAATATTAATAAGTATACAAACAACTCATTCCTCAGTCTTCTTATTATCTTATGGAATCCAATTTTGGTAAGTATCCAAAAATCGTACTCTTTCCTCTCTAGTCAATATACATCAGAACAATAACCCATGGCATGTAAGTGTTCAATAAACAATTCCATAAAAAGTACACCATTCAAATACTCGGACACCAAATTTATTCTCTCTTGACTTAACCGATACAACCCTTTGACTGTAAAGAAATTGGTCTGGGACCTTTTACCCTCATTATTATTTATACTATGATACTAAAATTTATTAAATAGCAACACTCAAACTTGTTGCTAGATTAACCATTTTAGTTACCATTGATCATAAATTGACTAACATATTTTACTATCAATTTTATTACTTACCCGATATTTACATGTAAAAAAATAGGTAAAAGGGGAAGTTTTTCTGAAGGATATGTTCTACTAGGATACAAATGTTGACTTCGAATTTGCATCAAGCGCATTAAACATATAACTAAAACAATATTTATCTGTATGAAAGAAGTTAGGTTACAAACTATAATATTTTGAGCAACACAAATTTTAAAATACACACTACCCTTAATACCAAATCTACATTAGTTGTAGAAATTATTATTAGAGAAAGAAATACGAGGAACATGAATAGTTGTAATACATAGCCCACAAATAGACCAATTATAATCACAACAATAAGAACATGTTTTGAGTTTTTAACTTAAGTTCATTTATTGACTTAAATAGTATAGACAAAAATTACATGACTGTAATGAGTGGTGAATGTCGAGTGGTCAGTTTACAGCCAAGATCATAGAAAAAAACAATGTTTAGTCCATCTGAAACAATTGATACAAGAGTTAGACAATTGATAAATTTAATGCGACGACTAGAACTTACCTTCTTGAAACCAATGTCGTTGGCGTATTCACGGAAACACTGACGGCACAAGTTGATGCCGTACTTCCTGATGAGACCGTGCCTGTTTGTGCATGCTCGGCTGTAATAAAATATTCGCAAATGGTTAATACATGTAAATCAGATTTACTATTGAACATAGCATAACAATCATTATAACATATACACTAGGTATAAATGTATAATAGTTAGTACGTAACTTTTTGTTAAAATAAAATGTAAATTTATGCAATTCTACAGATTTAAAACGATCGGACATAGCACACATCATTCATCGTTGAAATCATCAACCGCCTGTTGTCCCCCCCAATGTATAGCAATATCTAGACGCACCGCCATTTAAAATATTATACACACCAGCTAATGGCATTTTGGGTATGAGGTATGTGGAGTACACGAAATAATATGAAAAGCGTTCGACTTACCAGTAACGGGATCCTTGGCCGTAGCGTCTTGGATGCGAGTACCATACGTTGGCGAAACCCATTTTATTTTGTTTTAAGTCGACAAAATGACTGACAGAAACAGAAAACTAACACGTGTGGTGCAAAAGTGAATTTCTATAAAGTCGGCGGCCGATGTGAACTAAGTGATGATAATTATGTACAAATCGTGTAATGCACAAGCACACGGACCATAGGAACGAACAAACCGAAACGAGAAGAATGACGAGCGGGACGCAGGGTCTCCCAAAATGGTATTTTTAAGGTTATGTTTGAGAAAAAACAATTTCCACAACGTTGTTTTGTGATATTACCTAACAATAATATGCGATAATGCGAAGATAACAATTAACAAGTGATAAACCGAGTACTTGGGACTTGAGTAAATATTTGAAAATTTAAGATTTGTTTCAGGAGGTTAGAGGCTTTAATTATATCCTTAATATCTTTATTATCCATATTGACTTTGTAAAACATAGGCCCATCGGCACCACAATGGAGAACGCGTGGAAAACTAAAATTCCAGAGTTCAGGCCGGAAGATAATCCTCACGGGCTGTTAGAGGAAAGTGCGTTCGCCACATTATTTCCCAAGTACCGTGAAACATACCTGAAAGAATGTTGGCCGTTAGTACAAAACTCCTTGTCCAAATATCACATCAAGGCTGACCTGGACTTACTAGAAGGCAGTATGAGTGTACGCACCACACGCAAAACATGGGATCCAGCATCGATATTGAAAGCACGAGATTTAATCAAACTGTTGTCAAGGAGTGTTCCTTACGAGCATGCTGTTCGCGTAATGGAAGATGATATGGCTGCTGACATCATCAAGATCGGCTCAATGGTAAGAAATCGTGATAAATTTGTAAAACGGAGACAAAGACTCATCGGTCCAGGAGGTTGTACGCTGAAGTCTGTTGAATTGTTGACAAACTGTTACGTGCTTGTACAAGGACAAACTGTAGCTGCTTTGGGACCCTTCAAAGGACTACAACAGGTATACAAAAATTGATTTAATTAACTATCAGCTGGGCATTGTCTGAACAATCTCAAGCCAACATATTTGCCAACCACCTATCAAACACATTTCAACCAAATCACAATATTATCTCTCCAACCAAAATCCAAGAAGTTGAAAGCTTTCTAAACTCTCCTCTTCCATTGTATCCTCCTCCTAGAGCTTTTTACCCTAGTGAAGTTGAATTTAATCTTAAGAAAAACTCACCAAATAAATCTCCTGGATTTGACTTAATTTCAGCGGAAGTGGTCAAACACCTTCCCAGAAAAACCATAATTTTTCTAACACAAATTTATAACGCTATGCTTCGTTTATCATACTTTCCTATATTATATTCTATTATAATACTCATACCAAAACCAAAAAAAAACCCTGACTGTCCTTCCTCATATAGGCCTATAAGTCACCTACCAACTCTCTCCAAACTATTTGAAAAACTCCTTCTCAAACGAATACTCCCAATAGTTGATGAAGCTAAAGTACTACCAGACTCACAATTCCTTTTTTCGCAACAGTCACTCAACGATCCATCAGATTCATCGCCTGGTTGAAAAAATTTCATTTGCCCTGGAGGAAAAACTATACTGTACTGGTGCTTTCCTTGATCTCTCCCAAGCTTTCGACAGAGTCTGGCACTCAGGCCTCCTTTATAAATTAAAACTTATCCTTCCTAGCCACTACTATCTTATCCTCAAATCCTACCTCGAAGATCGGTTCTTCTCGGTACGTGTAGGTTCTTCCTTCTCCTCTCCTACTGAAATAAAAGCAGGCATACCACAAGGCGCAGTAATTGCTCCCCTACTCTTCAATCTCTACATCTCTGACCAGCCTACTTCACCCCATACCTTAGTCAGTGATTTTGCTGACGACAAAGCCATACTAGCAACCAGCCCAGATCCTGTTCTAGCCTCCTCATACATACAAGATCATCTCATCTCCCTTGAATCGTGGTACCAAACATGGGGCGTAAAAATGAATGAAACCAAATCCATCCGCGGTACTTTTGCACTTTGTCACGGTGTATGCCCAACACTTTACCTCAATAATCAACCACTCCCCCCTGCGCAGTGCATACGTTACCTTGGTATACTCATTGACCACCGTCTCACCTGGAAACCTCACATAATGAGCAAAACCCGTATACTTAACGACCGCTTCCGACTCCTTCGTCCACTTCTAACATCAAAGCATTTGAAACTCTCCAATAAGCTCCTGCTTTACAAACTCCTACTAAGACCCATCTGGACCTATGGGATTCAACTATGGGGCGCTGCCAAAATTTCCAACATCAACTGCATTCAAAGATTCCAATCCAAAACTCTACGTACCATTCTAAAAGCACCCTTCTATGTCTCTAACCACACCCTCCACTCTGACCTAAAAATTCCATTTGTCTCCGAACTAG